ACTTGTATTTGAATCTCTAGTACTTGGAACAATATCTGCCACATAGTAAGGTGAACAGAGTACTAAACCTGGAGTCAGGAAGACTTGAATCCACATCCGTCCTCAGATATTTACTGTATGGCCTTAGGCAAGTCACAAACCTCTGTCTGTCTCAGTTTAATAATCTATAAAATGGGGGAAATAACAGTATTTACGTCCCAGGATTTTTGTGAGGACAAAGTGAAAGAATACTCATAAAGCACTTTAAAAACATTAAATGCTATATAAATGCTACTTTATATTATTATAATGTTGTAAGTTAATCATTCATTCATTCATTCATTCATTCATTCATTCATGGCCCCGCCTGACAAACACATGCACATACAAGACATCTGTAACCTTTCCCAAGTGACAAGGCGTAAGAATACAGCTTTCCTCTTACAAGAGGCCTGGACCTTGGCGGTCTCTAAAAATTATGTTTGAGGAACTGCTACAATGTTCTTATCACTACTGCCACAGACTATCACTAAGAAGGATAGAACTTTTCCTAACCTCAGCAATACTCAGGCCAATTCTGTTTAAATTCAATTTAATTTTAGTTTCAATTAAAAAACTATTCTTGTTTTTCCAAGAACATTTATTAATCAAAGTATTGACATACGTGGCTTATCCATATACATGGCTACACAAAGGATATGTAATTTCATCAGCATGGGAATCTCCTACCAGAGAAGATCCTAGCCAATCTATAATTTAGCAGATAAAACCTAGAGATTATGTGATTTGACAAAGGTCTCAGGGGCCAGATTTGGATTCAAGTCTTTCTGACTTGAAGGCCATCCCTCTATCTATTATATCACCCTATGTCTATAGTATGCTATAATAAATAAAAATATGTGAACATTAGGTCTGATTATTAATATCCAGGCATCATGACCAAGTCACAGATAGTCACAAATTTTTGCTCTGCTTGTCTAAGAGAGGGTGTTTTTAACCACATGAGTAAGCACACCACGTTTAATGTACCGGTCTTTCCTCACCTCTGTGGTCTCTTGTGAGCCTTGACACTATGTTCTCTCAGCTTTCTTTTCCCTCAGCAACGTCATTCTCCTGGTTTTCCTGATCACCTCCTCACACCACTATTACAGAAAGGTAAATCTAGAAAAATACAGCTTTCAAGTATGCTGGCCAGAATATACTTTGTGTAGCAGAGTAAGATTAATATTCTAACATTAATAACACTGTACTTGCTTTTACATTTGTATATACACATAATCTTCATAGGTGTATGTCAAAATTCATAAGAAGACAATGGAAACAGCTTTTTAAAAAAGAGCTGTGGTTTAGTCTGAACTGTATTATGGGGAATTTCCTAGAGTATTCTAAATTTAGGATGCGAAACTAAGGGGAAATGTTGCTATTTCATTAGTAATTGGCCTATGTGAAACCTAAAGCTCACTCATCTTTTTTTGATAGGTTTGTTTGATGAAGATTGTGATCCAACGATTGTTTAGCAGCAGTTTTATAGGACTGTAAATTCTTTTCATTAACAGACATTATAAAGATATAATACTAATCTTATTTAAAAACCATGAGTGCCACACTGGTGAATATACAGCTCACAAATAACTTAAAAGTCTTTCCCATTCTGAAAGGAAACACACAGCATACAAAATATACTAAACAAAGAAGCCATAATATGGACACATGATTGAAGCATCTAAAATGTTATATACATTTTCCTTACACTCAATATCCTTGAAAGTTTCTTAGAAGAGAAACTTGAGCTGGAACACCTACTTACCCTAAACCACTTAATATTTGTTTGCTGGGGTTTCTAAGAACAAAAAAAAAGATATGACAGCTATTATTTGACCCAGTCAAAAGCTATGATACAGTAGATTTGGTGAAATCAGGTCAAAAGTTTCTAGGACTTCAAAGGCCTTTGTAACTTTGGATGTATCCAGTCAGATGCTGTCTGAACGTGAAGTGCTCCAAGGCTCTGTCTTCAATGACCACCACCAACACTAAGCTGGCTGAAGAGATGTCCTCAGTGTTTGAGAAGACCCCTACATTTGAGGAGCATGAGGACTACTGGCAGGCATTGGAAGCTTTTCCCAGGGGTTTTGATTTGTTGGGGCCCCAGAGATAAGTTTTTAGCAAAGCAGAGAGGCTGGGCTATGTTAAAGCATTTACAGAGTTCACCAGGGCCACACAGTACACCTCTGGCTCCCTGGCATGACTGAACTGGCTGCATGCCAGGATACTGTGGTGCCTCCCAGAACCACTGCATTATGGTAGGACCAGGTGGGATGCTGGCAGACACACAGAGACATTTCCCCCTAACAATTGTGTTCACTTTTGTCATAAAATTCTTAAAAGCTGTAAAAGGCAAGGCAATAGGCTGGGGGACCAGTGAAAGCACTGCATTCAAATGTCATGACATTGTTTTTCTAAAAGTCTATGATAATCATACCATTTCCTTGGCAATATTTTACTTGATCATTTAAAATCTTAAGGCTGAACTAACCTATTAGTTCTATATATTAGCTTATGAATTACTTTAAGGGTTACAAAGTACTTTCCTCATAGCTATGAGATAGATAATGTGTGAGTTATTATTTCCCATTTTACAGATGAAGAAACTGAGATACAAAGGAGATTAAGGGATTTGATCAGTGTTGAATAGCTAATAAGTGGAAGAGAGACACCTTAGATGTGTTTTAAAGCCATTGGTTTAGAGACAGTAAGACTTTGGAGTCTATGATGGTATAGGCTTGTTATAAAGGGTTACAGTCTTTGTCTAAGCCTATTCCTATATCATACCATTCTGTTCTTCTTAAGCAGCGAGAACACATTAAAAGACTGACTGTATGAAGAGCATTTAAAAAGCACTTACTAGGTGCCAAGAACATTAGTGATATAAATTAAAAGTGTAATTTTTAGTAGTAATCCAATTTATAAATTAGTTAAAAGTCTGATAGGATTGGAGCAGCTAAGTGGTGTAGTAAATAGAGGACTGGGTCTGGAGTCAGGATGACTTAACTTCCTGATTTCAAATCTGACCTCAGACACTTACTAGCTGTGTGTCTCTGGGCAAATTACTTAACTCTGTTTACCTCAGTTTCCTCATCTGTAAAATGACCTGGAGAAGGAAATGGAAAACCACTTCAGTATCTCTGCCAAGAAAACCCTAAATGGGGTCCTGAAGAGTTGGACATGACTGAAAAACAACTGAACAATGAAAAAGGATAGCATGCTGGATTTTTAGGGGTAGGAGTTTGATAGACTTTTGAGTTCAATTCTTGGACATGTGAGTCTATAAGACCTAAAGAGGGCTGCACCCATTCCCCATTCAGTGTTTAAAATGCAGCAGTTCTGGCCATGAGTGCAAATGTTGCTAGCAACTGACCATTCTTCAGTTTGGAACAATGTGGTCTCTGACTCACTTGCAACTGGGCAAAGTATGTTAGCTGGGTATTATGGAGGCCACCCACAAAGACCCGCCATTAGCAGAGTGTATAACAATAACATCATAACTTATAAATGTATAATTTTATGAAGCATTATGTTCACAAAACCCTTTTTAAAAAGGTAGTGTATTATCATCACCTTTTACAAATGAGGAAAATCAGGTTCAGAAAGGTTGTGATCTCGCTCAGTGTCACACAAGAAACAAATGACAGAACATTCAAAATAAATCTCCAGATACTCTTTTTTTACAGGCCTAATAGGTGCTTTCCTTAAACTGAGAGTGAGGATGATGATAATACACATTATTACTGGTCAGAGTACTCTATTGGTCAGAGGAACAGCACTTTGGAGAATTTTCAAAAATGCTTTCACAAATGTAAATGATAATTTATTTTTTGTGATTCACCTCAACCTTAACTTTATAAATTAGACAATATTCTAATCCAGTCAGATCCATAAATATCCAACTACTTAGATGGTATATCTGAAAATGATCCTGCCATGAACTTGCATCTCAGGACATAGAAATCTACCTTTCAGAAATTGCATTTCACTGAAGAGACCACTGTCACAACATCCTTTCCCTCAAAGCTAGGGAACAGTAGGACCATATTCAATTTGCATGCAGGTGATGAACTTCAGAGGTTGTATTAAAGGATGAACCAGGGTGGATTAATTTCTTGTCTTTGATATTCATTAACTCTAGCTTCAGAAAAAAATACAAGGAGATGACACAATTATACCCAGAGTTTTAGAGTCAAAGCATCAGTTTTACAAACACAAGTTCACAACACCATAATAATTGATCAACAAGGGGTAAATCCCTACGATGAGAGGTAAAAACAAAACAAAACAAAAGACCAAAAAGCTTTTGGTGCAAAGAAAACCATGCTAATTTTAGAGTTTGGAAGAGTCAAGCCTGCTTGATAATAAATCCCTATTCTCCTGAGTTCAAATCCAGCCTTAGATATTTACTAGCTATGTGACCCTGGGCAAGTCACCTAACCCCATTTACCTTAACATTTAAAAATTTCTGTTTTATAATTTTCTAACTTTGTATAATGCTTCCTCTGATTCTTATACTTCTATCCAATGATCCCCTGCCAAACTAAGCCTATATTTATCACAACATTTATGGAAATCAAAATGTAATGGTTATTTTCTTTGAAAAGAACGATAGCTTTAGCACCACGTTTCTTTGTCAGTGTGGTACAGTGAAAAGATGGCAAGATTTGGGTCAGAGAATAAGGGTTCAAATCATAGTTGTACAATTGGTGTGCCCTGTCCCAAATATCTTCACTTCTCAGAGCCTTAGTTGTTCATCTGGAAAAAGAAGGGATTAGACTAGATGACTTTTAAAGTTCCTTCCAGCTCTAAATCTATAATCCTATATGACCTTTGGGTACTAGAAAACACAACATAAAGTGGGAAGATTTTTTTTTAGTTTTTGTTTGGAGGAACACCAGGATATAAACAAAGCTCCCATTAAAGGCAATGGACTAGGAGCCTAAAAAATAAGTAGCGTGCATCAGCCGAATATTTACCTCAGGCTGTTCAAAGATTTCTGGGTCATAGTGCAGGAGTGGTGGGTAAATGATGGTGGTATCTCCTTTTCGTAGATTGACTTCTCCATTTCCTAAATTTAGGGTGATATCCTCTTTATTACAACGTATATTGGAAGAAACTGAGGTCAGTCGTAAGGTCTCATTAATGATACTTTCTGTAGTAAGAAAAAATCAACAATAATTAGTTATTAAATCATGGATGTTTCTTAGAAAAACCACCTAGTTATCCATATACTGCTTGTCTAAAGGATCAATTAAAAAAGGAAAAAAAGATGTTTTCTTGCACATACCCACCAGGGACCAAAAGGGAAGTAATTCATGGAAGCAACCAGTGGGGAGTGGGAAGGCAGAAAGCAAGAGAATCTTTAGATGTAATGATCTCTTATATTTTCATACTTTGGTGTAACAGGGAGTAGTAGACCCAACATTGCCAGTTAGTTGAAAGAATCTTCCAAGCTCTAAGCACTGCTTCATTTGGAACAGTAGTCATTCAAGTTTCTGGGAGAAGCAATGCATCCATTCTAGTGAAAGGTTGTTCCAACTCTTTGAAAACTACTAATATTTTTCAAAGCTAGATTAGCTGTTAAAGAAGCATTGAGGCCTTTAATAGCATAAATTTCCTTATGTTAGTGGTAAATAAAGTGTGATTCAGTATTTGTTGGGAAAATACTTTAGGAGAAACCACATCCTTCTCAGGACCTAGGTAAAATAATCAGGCTCTATCATGTCCTGGAAGACTTCAGAAGCTGAATGTCCTTGCTTTCCCAGTGGCCTTCACCTTTTGCTCCTAGCACGACAGATTTTATGGCTAATTTCCGGCAATTTATCCTGGCAGTTTGAGGAGGAATTCCTTTGGGAATAATATGCATAATTTGCATAAATCATTCTGATAGCATGCATATCAGAATGTAGCTCCTGTCTAGGTCTGCATCTTTCTCTTCATAATCAAAATTGACTATTTTTCCTCCAGCATGTATGGGATGGGGGCTAGAATATAAAACCTGATTCCTTCTATTCATCAATGCAAAAACAGCTCCAAATAGTTTATTTCTCACAAAATGATAAGTGGCTGTGTTTATAGTTTGCAATAAAACATATGCACGCATGCAAACACAAATTCTCTCTTTGTGACCGATTAGCAAGGCTTTGTAGCCCACAGCACCCACAGGTTACATTATTAAAGATGGACACTTCACAGCAGAGCTGTGTCTGCATAAAAGATAACAAAGTTGGTTTCACTAAAAATTAAATCTGTGCCCAGCTTGCATAATAAAAAGGTGGGGGGAAGGCTTGAATGTTTTGTCACATGAGGTTTTTCCTTAAGCATGCATTTGTCTAAAGAAATGAGGCTGCGGTCAGCTCTGTGTGGCCATGGTAGAGATTCGATGTGACGTACAATGAGGTTGTACATATTCTTTTAGACTGCCTTTGTTACTATAATCAGGCAGAGCCAAATCCGCTTGTTGATGAGGAAGCCAGGAAAACACACACACACACACACACACACACACACACACACACACACACACACACACCCCAATTTTGGTTCCAGAACATGGCCTCAACTACACATAGCCATAAGGTACCTGACGCAATAGATATCAACTGGCAGCACTGGCAACCAAACTTTCCAGGGTACAAAAGGCAACGTTCAACCCCAATCGAAAGCTGTCAACTTCCTTGGAAAACCCTGTAAGGGGATAATACCATTTTAGCCTGTCGTTGGGAAATGGTAGCTGACATATGTTCCCCCAACAAGTCCAGTAAGGAGGGTGGAGGAAGAAGAAAAGCAAAAGAATCCTGGAGTGTCTCCTGTGAGATGGCAGGTTCACATTTAACAACCTGAATAACACAGTCGGAGCCTATTGGCTGACTTGCTCCCAGGAAGCATGACAGTTTGGGCCCACTGCGGTATCACAAATGACAACTGGGCAAGCATATCTTATGCAGAAGTTAATCACAATGATGGAGCACAAAGTGTGGCTTAGTGGTCAGATCGTAAATGACAAATCTGTCTCACCTTCCAGTACCAGTTATGTGTGGAAGGCGAGCTTGGCTCTTGCTCTGAGCAATCATGCTGATAATCATTAGATGACAAAAGTAATGAGTCACATTATGATCAACAAAGGAGAGTGGAGCTTATGTGGGTCTACGACATAACACACACACTCACACACACACACACACACACACACACACATATACACACACACACACATATTTCCTTTTCCAGGAAGCCCCTGTATATCTGTGGGGGGAAAGTGCTAAGTTGAAAGAATGACAAGTGCCCAATAAAAGCGGCATCTACTTGCAGTTGTCATAGCTGGGCAGACACCAGCCAGTGCTACTGACAGACCAGCTGGGCAGCTCAAGAGGACTTCTATTCGGCACCATGAGGAACAGTAAATTATCCAGCACAGTAAAGCAACATCTGTTTCTGTGCTAGTGCCGAACAAACAAGGCAATTTAAAACATACCAAGGGATAACCAAGCAGCAAATGAACATGACCCTCATTTTTCCCCCCTTCTTACACATGAGGTGCTAAACTTCCTTGTACAAGCTCCATATCACGGAGAAGCCAGGTTGCTTTTTGATAAGGTGTTGTCAGAGAGATTTTTTCTTTTTTTTTTTTTACAGATTTCCAAAATGTAAAGAGAAAGCTCGTAGTATTGTTATTCTTAGAATCCTCCTACTTCTATCTTCACTTCTTTTATACCAAAGCTAGCACTTAGTTCTCAATTCACTCTAAATTTTTTTTAAAAAAGAAACCCTGTTTCAATATACTTATAAATATTCAGTCTTTAAACCTAATTTGCTATACTTAGTTCGCATGCCTTCAAGCATTTGTCTTCCAATTTCCACTGAATAAATGCGTACTAATGAGAAATAGAGCAAGCTGCTGAGGCAAAACTGGGTGACTTGAGCCTGGCCTGCCACCAGCTTGTGATAGGCAGGGAAATTGAGTTAAAATGAAAAGTCTTGTCAGCTGAAATACAACATGGTAGCCAAACAACAAGCTGTCAATCATCCAGCCCAGACAAGGGACTGCAGGTAATAAAAGGTCATTGGGAACCATTAGTTCATTTGGCTTTCATATGAAAGTTGATTTTAATTAAACACAATCTCTATCTTTAAATGTTTTACCAAACTTATTGTGCATAATAGATTGCTAATATATACTAACATTTAGCAGGTAATGGGGTACTATAATTATTAGAGCAGATTATAGGAAAATTGCTATCAAGAATGCAAATATTTTGATCATTTACACTACGCACAGCAGGGTGCCAACAATAGCCATGATGATGATTACAGGGAGGTTGTCTGTGCTTTCAGATGAGCAAGACTGACCAGCACATCACAGAAAACAGACTTCTCTTTCAAGCCTTGACATCACCTTCAACATTCTGATTCTCCATTGCTGCTTTCATGCAGCCAGAAAATAGCTCTTTCATTCACTCTCTTTGTACCTAAAGCTGTTTTCTGAGCAGTTATATCTTCTAAGGCCCTTGGTGTTGTACTAGAGCAAGAGAACTTCCTTGGGTAACAGCACACAAAGGCAGAAAAATAAAAGGAATACTGTCAGATGGAGATACACATATCACTTTTACAGTGAAAACTTTCAAAAATTGGGCTGCAAAAACTGACAGATGATTTTGATTTACTGCAACTTGTGACACCCAAAAATATAGGCTAGGGTAAAATATAAATAATAACTCAGATTTCTATAGCAATCTAAGGATTTCAAAGCACTTTCCTTACAACAACCCTGTGTGGTATATAGCATAAATATTATTAGTCCCATTTTGCAGAGGATAAAACTGAGGCTTTGAGAGGCTCAGTGACTTGTTCAGTGTCACACAGCTGGTATGTGTCAGGGGTGGAATTCAGAGATTCAAACCCAGGCTTCTAGTTTCTAAGTTTAGCACTTCATCCACTTATGCCACATTATCTATGCATACTCAACTTTATTGTAAAATGGATATACTGTGACATGGCAATCTATTAATATTGATCATCTTAATGATTGGTATAGACTGTTATATAATCACTTCCACTATGAGTGCCAATGGATATAGACTATGTGGTTGAAGATGGTGTTAAGGATTGTAAAAAAAAAAAAAAAGGACTGTAAAAAAGGTGTAAAATCAGCTATATTGTCATCCTACTAGTTCTACCACACATGTAGACTTAGAAGACAGGAGTGAAGGGATGTGATTGTTGTTGTTGTTTGTCCTTCGTTCTTAAAGAGGACCATGACATCAGGGAGGGGATGCCATGCCACGTAAGTGAATTGGATTTAAGTGAGGTAGGGCTGTGCAAAGTCACCAGCCTCACTTTCTCCTCCAGAGTCATCTAGATCAGGATGACTGGAGATGGCCCTGGATGCAGTGGGAGACCTTGGCCTTTTTAAGCTACAGTCTTTAACAGGTCTCAGACTGAGGCAGTGCCAACCCATTCAGTGATTAAGCCTTAGTAAGAAATGAGACTCTTTAGTAAAAAAAAAAAATCAATTTTGGAGGGGAAGATCCTCAGGATTTCTGGCCAAAACAGAAATAATTGCTATTTACATTCACTCTGAGCCAGTCAGGGCCCAAACAATGACCAAGAGGGGTTTGGCCTGGGACCTACTGTTGGCCAATCAATGAGAGTCAGAGTGATTTGGGTTTAAGGTGAGGTCGTTAAAAAAAACAAAAAGGTTTCAGCATCAAAATTTACATTCCTTTGGGCAGAGTACCAGTAGGTAAAGGTACAATATTCTATGTGGACAGAGGAAAAGGAGAGGAGAGGAAAGGAAAGGAGAGAGCTGTGTTGCCCAACTGGCCAATTCCAGCTGGGTCTCCAAGGGGGCAGCTTCCAGATGTGAAAGCATTTCTAATTCATTGGACAAAAACATGTCTCCACTATATATCTTAAGTAGTGGGTGGCTTAAAGTATGAAACATGTTCTCTGCTATTGCTTTATGTGAATAGGTGAATAGAACAGTATGGAGCTTAAACAAATAATTTTTAAAAGTTTGTCCAATATTTGAATACTTTAGATGGATTTTAAATTTTGAATTTGCTTTGTAATTACCTAAAATAGACTTCATCCTGCATGAAGCATATGTCAGCTGGGTATTATGGAGGCCACCAGCAAGCATAGATATAACAT